TAAAGTGATTTGAAATAATGCACAGAACCAACATGAATGCAAAGATTGTTTTTTCAAGTCACTGTGAAATCAAAATTGACAATTCTTATTTTTGGAATATTGCGGTGTTTATAAATGATTATCTTTGCACATTACTTTAAAAAAAAATCTTTAATCTAAAACATTGATCCAATCAATTGGCAAATGACAAAATTAAGTCCCACCCTACAATTTTTCTAGCTTGAGAAGCTGATACACTATACGTCAGAATAGCAGAGAAAAGACAGCTGCACTTTCCGTTTTTATGCCAACTTTAGGTCACATTCGCCGTTGATCCGTGAAATTTAATTGAAAGACCTGGTGTATCGCATGAGGGTGAAAAAGTTCCTCATGCAGATTTCAATGCATTCAATTTGGTCTAACAAATTTGCTGTTCTTCTGTGTGAGTCTGTGTTTTGTTTTTTTTGCCAACAAAATTTCACCAAAATGCTTTTTATATTCTATGAATATAAAAAATATATATTCTATATTCTATACGTCACTGACCTACCAACAGAATCAAGGCGGCATAAAAAAATTAACTAATTTAAGATTTTACTCTCACAAATAATGTCAAGTGTTATAATTTTTACATGTTAATTTTTAAGATGTAATATTTTTTAATTTGTAATTTTTACAATAATATATAATATAAATATTTCAAATATATTCTTTATAATTATACAAGTCGCAACAACGTTTTCAAACATTTCAGAAACCACAAAACATTAGAAATTAGAGCGTGCCACGCGAGCTTTTGTGGTAACCATAGCAACAGTTTGTTGCTCCGGCGGTTTTCGTTGAGATTCCCTATCGGACATCGACTAACCATAAAAAGGTATGTTTGTTAATACGTACTGTCATTATTTTTCGTTTCACAACACATTTATATAAAAGTTTTGTTTAAAATGTCATTTACACGTTTGTTTTCCAGGGGCGCGAAAAGACAATTGAGTTACCTGCGAATTCCCTCAAACAAAACAAAAAGACATTTTGACCGCATGACAGTATAAAAAAAAACAAGGTTTCTCTGTTGTTGGGGGGAAAACAGTAATAAATCAGGGCGTGGTTATGACATTGTGGTTCTCCTAATAGCCAACATGTTGTTTTCGGTATTGGCATAGTCTGACCTAGATGTAACGGGCAGCGAGGAGTTAAATCATTTCTGCCGCAGAGTTCAAATGTTTGGTCGATGCCACCAATGTCAACAGTCTAGCTGGCGCCCTGCGTGTCTGTGCAGAGCTCTTATATTCTGACAATTCTGTCAGTGACTCTGTGATTCATAAACAGACGTCCAAGCAAAAGCTCGAAATATCCAACACGGCGCCTCAAGCCATGCGTAAAATTGCCATGCGGAGAAGCGCGAGAACGCATCTGTCACTGGTGCAGGCCAGGAAGAGATCATAACACAGAAAATAAAAAACGCACATGTAAGCACATATTTCAGACTGACCTCTCCACCGGCGTACAGCGTCGTCAGAACCGTGTTGGGTGACAAGAAGTCACGATTTCTCAGGTTTTTTGCGCTGCTCTCCTTGAACCAGTGCTTCTCTCGCTCGCGGCTGATCTCGGCTTCATGTTCAGCATCTCTCCGCAACGCGCCGCTCAACGCTTTGACGGTGGACACGATGCTAAATGGCACGGCTTCCTCCATGATTAGGCTCAGTATGTTGACATTGTTTTTAGTGCCCGGACTGGAGGGATGTTAGTGAGATTGACTGTAGCAGCACAGCACTGCGGTGCTGTGTGCTCGGATTGATCACCAATCAAAACAGATGCATGGGGACCGGAACGTTAAGAAATGTCACTGCCTGGTCAGAGGAGGCATATTTTCATGTAACACCGGTTGCGTGTTTTTGAAAGGCGCCATTTTGGGTGTGGCAAAATCAGTTCAGTCAATGACAGAACAGAAAGTAAAAGTGCACTTCTGATAAAATACATTTTGTTCAGAAGCTGCCGTTTTATTTGAAAAGATATAGACTATTTAAATAATCTATGGATTACTTTCCGTCTTATCACTGATATTTAACATATTAATGTATGTGCACCCAAAAATGCAAGTTGTCATCTTTTTTCACTGCTTCTAAACCCGCATAACTTTATTTATTGTACTATATTACAAAGTCATTTGATAGCTTTGGGTGAGGAAAAGAGTATTTATCATCGTTAAAGTATTCGTTACAAATCTTACTTGACTATACTGTTTTCATTCATTTTATTTAAAACAGCAGCATGCACATTCTGCTATTAATTTCTGCTTTTCTGATATAAAAAAGTAAGTAAATGATAACAGAATACTTTAGATTTTAGGAGACTAAAGGTGAAAAATTCTTTTAACTCATTTTTTTTAGACTTTTCTCTAAATAAATATATAAGCCAGACTTTTATTCCATTTAATGTTTTGAGTAGACTGCATCAGGAATATTGTTTCCAGCATAAACATGTTTAAAAAGCTCCAAGTTTTCAACGTTTGACTTCTGATAATACTAAAATATTTCCTTATGGAACAGTAATAAGACACCATGCATCCATAAAAGGTTTTTATAGGAATCTTTAGAAAAGTTTATCAAAATGAGATCTGGTCACACTTCATACTGAAGCATATTTGAATGCTGGTTGTTCAGTTGCTTATTTGAGTACTTCCGCTTTGTTTGTTGCAGGTAACAATTGTATGTAAGAGCTGAACTTGGGCCAGATTACTAGTCACATGTTGTGGTTTACAGTAAGATCTAGATCTCTTCCCAAAATAACTAAAACAGCAACACTGGCTCACAGATTTCACTTTATGTCCTCTAGCCAGAGTAAAATCTACCAAGCAAATCATCCAAAACCTGTTTCAGATCACTCATCTATTGAAAACGCAAACCTCTATCATTCCTCTCTATATCATCATGTAGATCTAAAAAATTATTTGGGAGTTTTGATGATAAATGGTCAACAAGTGATGTATGACAAATGTTCTTAATTTATTATTAAATTACAGAAACAAAATTCAAATGTCTGACACAGCATTTTAGTAAGAGATTCTGTGATTTACTGAATACTGAAGATTCTGAAGATTTGTGATTGTCAGGAAGTGATGCCAATCTTGGCTGACACGAAGTTCCCGGTGGCGAAACATATTTCTGGCAATCCGGGAGAAAACGTGTCATTCCAGAGCAACATCAGAACTCATACACTCACATACACATTTCTGACTCAACTATAACATTGTAGATATATTCAAATACATTTCAAGTAATACACAAGTAAAATTCACATTAAGTATCATATCTGAATGAGGCCAACTCCCGAATTCTTCCAACACATACAATTTTCATCTTTAAGCTCCTGCAAGAAAGGAAGGACACAGAATCCATAGCCAGCTGTCAATCAACCAAACAGCTGCATTATGGGTTCCGTTACCATCCAAACTGCTGTGGCCATTTTCACAGACACTCCGTGAACAAACACATCCAGCAACGCTTCATCATTTAACACTTTTTTCGTATGGAAATTACATATGTCAAGTCTACTTTTTTTAAATAAGAAAAAATAAATGACATTCAAACAGCTTTTACCACAAACAAGTTTGGTGCCTCTGCAAAATAATCAAACTTGTTTATTTATCTTGCTTCATCTGTAGACTTGTGTCTTGAAAAACTTGTTCTCTATCAGAGAAAAGTGGGCAGAGAGAGGGAGGGAGAGAGAAGGAGAAGGGGGGTTATGCAAGGTAAATGAAGACAAAATGACAAGAGAGATTAAACAGGATATAAAACTGACTAAAGAAAGTCACATGAAGTAAAATGAAAGGAGGAACTAGCCTGAAATATGAAGCTTTCATTTTAGAATCAACAAGCTTGATGGCACTTTGCAACAAGTTTAGTGATAACTAGTTGAAGTGATCTCTTCTCTCTCTCTCTCTCCTTCTTTTTTGTGAAGATTTCCTCATAATTGCCAAACACAGTCAAATGAATGAGAAAAAGATGAGCAGAATGAGACAAATTAATGAAAGACGGTTTGTATCAAAGCATATTTCCATAATTTCTTTTTTCATTTCAGTGCGATCTACTTGCAAAAGAGAAGACAAGTTAACAAATGAAAGAAACAAGTGGAACAAAGGTGAAGAGAAATGAAAGAAAACTACTTGTTACTGTGATAAACGACATGAGAAGAGACCCATTGAACGTGACAGATACAAACTGCCAGGTATGACAGAGATGAGATGAATAATTCTGTTACCTGCTCCTGTCATTCCTCCTCTCTCTGCTCCCTGGCTTGTGTGAGTTTGTCAAAGAGCGTTCGCGTATTTATGCCTGCTGACTTCCTCCTCAGAAATCCGAGGAACATTTTCACTTTCACTTCTTCACTAGACTGCCCACAACCTCCCCCTCCAAACATTTCAATGTCTTTCCCTTCTCTTTTTATGATTCCTGTCATCTCTTTCTTATCATTTATATTTCTTTGTCTGTTATGTGCTTCAACTATTATGGTTGATTCACTCATGTGATGGTAGGTGCAACATATATGTTGTTTATTAATTTTTATTATTAATAATTTATTACATATCTTTATACAGTATTAAATTTTTATATGTATTAATTTTAATGTTAAATATGAGAATTATATACATCCATGGTCTTTTTTTTAATCAAAAAAGTTCTAGTCTTGTCAGACTGCAGGAAAGATAATATTGCTGCACACATTGATTTACATCTGTCAGTCATTTCAGTTTTGCTGTGTATAAAAGCGTTAAGATATCTGGGCCCAGCTGGGATGAGCGCACTAATGGGCCAATATCATATTTCATTTATGAGGAGCCACCTGGAGCTCTCAGCCCAACCTGTCCAGGTGCGGGTCCATTGGTAAGCATGTGTGAACGCTTGTTTGGAAAGTCCGGTAGTTTTGGAGGTGAAGGCTGGTTCCCTTGAGACACGCTTGCAAAATGAGGAATAACGTACCAATGTCAATGTTGAGCAGCCATCTACCCACACACTCACAGATTCAGGATTTGAAAACCAATTTATGATGAAAAAACACATGCAAGTGAAAAATGTTGTAATTTACATGACACAGGCACATTTTTACAAAGGTACTCACATGCACCTAACTTGAACTGTCAGTTCTCGTTTTATAACAAACTTGACAGAAATCCCATTAAAATACAACACTTCCTGTTTTACACAGATCAACGGCACTCAATCAACCCATTTTCATCTCTGGACAGAAAATGTTGACTGTTTATTGCTTAAAATGATGCATATGCAGTAATATTTTATGACGAGACAAATATCTGTGGCAAAAAATTTATATTTTCCAACAAACTTTGTCAAATGATTACAATCAAAAACTTCTTTTTTGACATGTAAGGCATCTGATTCAAACAGCAGACGGCATGCGTTCCCCACAACCACACACATTCACGCAAAACTGGCATATGCTCGCAGACATTCACACACGGTTTCTCTCCTCGCTAAGAGGAAAGGCGGCTGGGAAGACAAGAAAGAGGAAGCTGAGGTTCTCAGTGTGTTTGGGTGCCTGTATGTGCAAAAGCACTTGTGGAAGTCCATTAATGGAGGTTCATGTGCGTTTGGCTATGCATGTACTGGCATCTGTAGTGTCTTCTTTAAAACAGGCGCTTCTCATAGCTGAAAGAACAAAATAAAAGATCAGTTAATTTTTTTTTATTTAAGTTCAAACTTGTACATTATTCCATTCAAAAGTGTGGTTTCAGAAAGATTTTACATTTTCTTTTTGAAAGAAGTCTCTTATGCTCACAAAGGCTGCATTTATTTGATCAAAGATAAATATTATTACAATTTAAAATAAATATTTTCTATGTTAAAATATTTTATTTAAAATGTAATTTACTCCTGTGATGGCAAAGCTGAATTTCCAGCAGCCACTGCGCCAGTCTTCAGTGTCACATAATCCTTCAGAAATCATTCTAATATGTTTTGGTGCTCAAGAAATATTTCTTATTATTATTATCAATGTGCTGCTTCATATTTTTGTGGAAACCATGATACATTTTTCTTTCTAGATTTTTTTATGAATATAAATTTCAAAATAACAGCATTTATATGAAATGGGAATCTTTTAGTAACTTTATAAATGACACTTTTTTTAAATATTTATTTTCAACATTTTGCCTTTATTTGGATAGGAGAGAGGAGGGGGGGATGGGATCGGGAAAGGTCCACGAGCCGGGACTCAAACCCGGGATGCCCAGAAGCACAACGACGCTATATGTCGGCGCGCTGCCCACGAGGCTATTGGCACTGACATAAATGTCACTTTTGATCAATTTTAATGCATTCTTGTTGAATAGAAGCATTATTTTTTTATCTTACTGACCCCAAACTCTTGATTGGTAATGTACAATATCTTCAGACTACGTGTACGAATGTTCAACTACCTGTGTAGGCTGTGCACTCCACCCTCCATCTGAGCTGACATTGTCCTCTTTTCAAACCTCAGTTCACCAGAATACATCATTGCCCTGAGATAGATGAAGAAAGAAAGGGGGAAAAAAAAAAAAGAGGAAAAAAGGAAAATGACAAACTGTCACTCATTAAACTCAAACATATTAATATTTGGGTTTGTGTCTGTTTTAGCAGTGCACTGTTGGGTTAAAGGTGCAGCGTATAGTTTCAGTGCCACTAAAGGAATCAAACAGAATTGGCAAAAATAAGAAATGATAGTTTTGGAAACAATCATACTTTTCACAATTTTGTTTGCCGTCACTAGTGGCACTGAAACTATACACTGCACCTTTGAATGCATTTAATTGCCGATATGCGAGTAATTAGTGCGATTGCGTGTACCTCAGCTGTGTGAGGCTCTTTGCACCGATGTCTTGGCAGGAATGCTGTATGCCAACGAGGAGATATGGAACAAACTTATGGATGGAGCCTTTATCCTGAACAGCCCCTGAAACTCCCTGAGCTACTTTAATCTTATCACTCTCACTGAAAAAGAGACAGAGGGGTTGAGAGAGTGAACATGGTTTCAATTTATATTCTGTAGAACTTTCTCAGTCTAAGATATTAGCTTTTATTAATGTTTCATTTAACTACTATTCCATAAATATATCTACATATCTAATTATCATAAAGCATTAGTCTATATAAGCAGTTGTGAAATAGCTAGCATATAGCAAAGCGGTTTAAAAAAAAAAAAAATAAATAAACATGGGAACCTGTAATTAGTAGCTAAACTGTAGCAGGAACTAAGAGCAGTAAGTGCACAGTATTGTATTTGAGAAAGGATTTATTTGTGTGTAACACCTGAAGTATCTGCTCTGTGAGCCCAAGTTCTTGTCCATGGCATCCAGTGAGCCCATTCCTCTGTACTTCTTTAGACGGATCCCATCCGAAAAGAAATATTCACCAGGAGCTTCAGAAGTGGCAGCGAGCAATGACCCCATCATTACTGAGAGAAACCAAAAGCAGAAGAGAATTTAGCTTCAATTACGACGTTAGTCTGCATCTTGTGAATCTATATCAAACCCATATCTCACCTGTTGATGCTCCCAAAGCAAGTGCTTTAGCGATGTGACCAACTGTCTGAATCCCCCCATCAGCGATGACAGGCACTCCAAACCGCCGAGCATATTCTGATACCTTATACACAGCTGTTGCCTGTGGCCTCCCGCATGCTAGCACTGTGAGAACAATGAGAAATAGAGACCCTTACTATCAACCTAAACTTGCATATTCTACAAATATTAATTATGTAGATGAGGACAATCATAATATGCATTGATAAACAAATACTCTCCACTAACTGTTGTTCATACAAACACAGACATCCATACTCTCTCACACACACAGACAGACATGTGGACACATGAATGACTATGAGTGTACTCTTTACTCATGCAGTCATGTGACTTCAGTCAGTGACAATCAACCAACCAGTAAACGTTACAGAGACAGTATTGCATGTCAATTCAAAATGAGGCCAAACCAAAATGAATCAAAGAAATCTAAATCATAGCACTTCTTTTAACTTCACTAAGTTCAAAGACAAAAAGTTAGCGTTATATGAAATATGTGGATTTATGAAAGTGGAATTTTAGATGTGAGATTTTCTATAAATGGTGAGGTAACATGAGAGGAGAAGAAGAGTCCATCAGCAAACCCTCTGCAAGTCTTGACAAACAACGACAAATGAGAAAGTTTCTTAATGATTTGAATCATTCTCTAAATTCACCTTAATCTTTTGCTCCACTGTCTGTTTGTGACCTTTCGCAAGACCATCACAATAAAAAGGAAAAACTTGCAGTGGTGAGCATGTGATGCACACACACACCTGTCAAACTCAATTATTATCTGTTCCAAATGTTGACAGAGTGGGATCCAAAAGTCTGAAACTACTAGCGCAAATTATACTAATTTATTTACTCAATCTAACTAATTAAACATTATATTAATTAGCATAACAAGTGAAAAGTTGCATGCAAGATGCATGAAAATCCATGCTGTCATGGTTTTTGGAATTTTCGTTGTTTTATTCAAGACAACGAATGAGAGTAGACAAGAAATGAAGACGGAGCAGCAGCATTGGAAAATGACAAGTGTCAGCTTTTGACCCCAAACCCCCTTCTGTAATTTCTAAAGTCACACCATCTACACTCTGCATACAGTAAAATGAAAAAAAAAAAAAAATGGTGTGAGTTAAATTAACACACACTACACTGAACTGTAAAACAAAGACCTTCTGCAGTGAGACCAATGGTTGTGAAACCCTCAGCTATTTCTGCTTTGTTAACAAGTGCACTTCATACACTCCAGTGCTCTTACAGCAGCTCTAAAACCTATTTGGACACTTAAGCCATATTTCTAGCATTTTCATTGTACAGATAAAATATCAAAGCAAATGACATATAGAAATAAAACAATGCTAGAGCTTTTCTAATTTCACTTTCCTGTGCCAAATTGGCATTGACTTTTAATTAACGACTTAGCAAATAGGGCTGCACGATTCATCGAAATTAAATCGCATAAATTGTCATGCGTATCTTTCAGTGAAGCACGGTTCTGTGATCAGCAGTAAATCTCCATCCGAAGGCCAGAGGGCACTCTCGTGCTGAAACTCCAAATACGCCTTGCAAAACCCAGGAAATCCCTATAGCGGTTGCTGAATAAACAGAAGATTTAACTGCCTTCATTAATTCAACGTGACTAATAAACACATGATTACGACAATATATGATTTATCCGAGTTCGTCTTATTAAAATTTTTATTATAATAAAGTATATAATAATGCAATGCTAATCGACATAGCCTTTATCACTGCTTAGAATACTATGAAATATGTTGCGTGCCTTACTCTGTGTAAGAAGCCACATCGTCTCACAGAAGGATTTATTTCAAACACTCGACTGATGTTATGAAGTGAGTTTGGAGTAAAAACAAGTTCTTAAATGTGGTATTTTCACGTGCTTTCAGATGGAGCAGCATTTACTACACAGAGCCGTAGTTCACTGACAAGCTATGCAAACCGCTTTCAAAACCGCAGAACGATTTCTTCGATTTCATAATCACGCGATTAAACCGTCTGCGATTATGAACACGATTTTGCGTAGCTTGTCAGTGAATTACGGCTCTGTGTAGTAGACGCTGCTCCATCTGAAAGCACGTGCTGAAGATTTACTACTAATCACAGAACCGGCTTTACTGACAAGATATGCATGACAATCGCATTAGATTAATCGTTCAGCCCTATTAGCAAATGTATTAAGTTGTTTCCCCTCAAGTTCAATGTTTGAAGAAAGTGACCAAATGTTCACTACTGTCATTTTAACAGCATGTTTTATTTTTTTAAATAAACGCCACTTGGTTTTATATTTCATGATACAATGACATTGTATCATCCTTTCTGGCCACTGCACAAGCTAGTTCACGTATGTTAGTGAGGGATTCTGAGTAACAGACTTAGATCAGAGGAAGTGCCAAACGCCACTACTGACAGGTTAGTCAGACAATGACAAGCATCCAAAACCCCAAAAACCAGCAACTACTTCTAATGATGCAGAGCCATTAACCAGTCAATGCAGCAGGCAGAGTGACATAGTGAGCCAATGGGATCTGTATGGGGATCAGGGGGAGGGACTTACTGGAGCATCCCGTAACAGTAGTTGGGGTTTTGGGGCTGTGGAGCTTTAAACCAGGAGGAATACTGAGAGGCGCTAGAGAGACACAATTATAGAAAGGGAAACAGATACTGAGAAAGAGCACATGGTAGCTCTGTTCTAAAACCTTGCCTTGCTGCCTACTGTACATAAGCGGCTTTCTTCTAAGGAAGTATAACTAATTGTAATGGAACCTCGTAAGGAATAGATTTGGAATGCAGTACAAAGGCTGCAACTGTGTGCAACACAGTTTGATGTTAGCATGTTATTAAACTAACAGCGTGATTCTCTAATAAGCATGAAAATGTTACACTAATAAATGGTGGGTAAAATAATATATTCAAATTACTTACCTATTTTACAGTATAAAACATTTTCAGTTTTAAGTTTAAAATAAAAAAATGTGCTTGCCTTGTCAGCCATCCTGGATTTATTTTCAATGCATTATGGAACTGTAATATTCATGAAGGACATATACAATTTAAAATAACATTTTCAAATATTTTAAAATGTAATATATTTCTAATTTTCAATCTTTATATGATAATATTTAAAATAACATTTTCAAATATTTTAAAATGTAATATATTTCTAATTTTCAATCTTTATATGATAATATTTAAAATAACATTTTCAAATATTTTAAAATGTAATATATTTCTAATTTTCAATCTTTATATGATAATATTTAAAATAACATTTTCAAATATTTTAAAATGTAATATATTTCTAATTTTCAATCTTTATATGTTCTTTTTATGTTTTACTCTCACTTTTGATCAATTTAATGCATCCTTGCTGGATAGAAATATTAATTTCTTTCAAAAAAAAAAAAAAAGTGAACAGTAGAGTATCTCAGAAGGCAGTATAATTATGCCTACCTTCTGAAACAGTCTTTGCTAGGTTTTGGAACAGAGCTGATTAAAAAAAATAAAGGGAACTGATGCAAGTAACAAAAACAACCGGTCGAAAGAAAGAAAATATGCCATAGAGACAGTCAAAGAAAGCACAAAAGAAGGGAAAACTGAGGAAAAAAAGAGAAAAACTGTGACAGAAAAGAGAAAGGAAGAGCCTCCACTACCATACTCCCATCATTCAGAGCGACAGAGAAAGACATTTGTCACAGAGAACTATACAAACGGACAGACAGACACTTATATAGACACATACATATTAATTCTTAAGACAAAACCCACAGAATATAGAATAATACCTACACCACACAAACAAAAATAGGAATTCTCCACAGATTCTAAAACCCCAGAAAAATGCTGGAAAAGAGGAAACAAGGCAGTGTGGATTGTCTGCCAATCAATCTGTACAATTACCTTGCAAACCAAAACTGCAGGGATATTTGGGAAATGACAGATAATTTGGACTGCTCTAACAATGTTAAAAGAAAACCTAGAGGAGGCACTGGATATTAGCTGCTCTCTCTGGAATGACTGGATATAGAAATACAGCCTGTGATCGGCTGAGGGGCAGGCAGTCAGGCGTGGGATTGGTGGACTGACCTTCTTGTGTGATGCAGATGGAGCCGCTGCCCATTCCCACTCTGAGAGCATCCGCTCCGGCATCAATCAAATTCTTCGCCTGAGCTGCAGTCACCACTACAACAGACAGACAGCCCATGTTAACTGTGTGTTTGTAGATATTATGTTCAAAAAGTTTGTGTTTAAAACTAACCATTGCCGCCGATGACTTGTAGGTTAGGATATTTCTCTTTTATGTACTTAATCATATTAATCTGAAAGATGGAATTTCCTTGGGAAGAGTCCTAAAGTGAGCAGAGACAATAGGTAACCACAAAGGACAAAAAATAAACCATCTTCAAGAACTGATTCACTGAAAGACATTAAGCCCAAAACAGGCCTCACCAGGACAACCACGTCTACACCAGCCTGCACCAGCAGGTCGAGTCTGTATTTGTCATCATTGTGTGTTCCGATGGCAGCACCACAAAGCAGCTGTTTACGAGAGTCCTTTGAGGCCAACGGGAAATCTCGGTTCTTCTTCAGATCTGTCCGAGCGATGATGGCCACCAAACAGCCCTCCTCATTTACTATAGGAAGCTTACCTACGGCAAACAAACACTGAGTGTGAGAGCTTCACATGGGGGAATTATCTTGCAGCATTCTGACTTCATTCCAAACTTGGTTTTATCAGACTGATTCAATATGATAACTCATGAATTTGTGAGTCTTTTTGAGAGATTCAACATTTTTTTATTTGGTTGTTTTATACCATGTCAGCGGCTTTATTTATGGCTGAAATCACTTAAATAGGCAAATAAACAAATTAATAAACCTTTAAAAGGAGATATGAAATGGATATACAGAATCAATAATTTACAAACTAAATAAAATGTATTAATATTTAAAGGGGTGGTTCATTCTGATTTCACTTTTTTAACGTTAGTTAGTGTGTAATGTTGCAGTTTGAACATAAACAATATCTGCAAAGTTACGAAGCTGAAAGTTCAATGCAAACAGAGATATCGTCTTTTAAAATTCTAGCGGGTTAATGCCTACAAAAACGGCTGGTAGGGACTACAAGAAGTTACTTCCCAGGTTTGTGACATCACAAACCCTGATAAGCCCCGCCCTCGGGAAAAGGCAGCAAAGGGGGCGAGGCCATGCTGCGCTGCTTTAGAGAAGAGGAAGAGAAAACTAGAGGTGCACATAAAAATCTATTCATATATGAATTGCGATTCTGTCTTCTAACAATTCTAATGGATTCACAAGTTTCAAAATCAATGTTCTAAAGCAGCAGTTCTCAATCCTGTTCCTCTCGTCCCCCTGCTCTGCACACGCTCTGCATCTCTCTCTCTCCCTCATTCAGCTCAGCTATAACAATGAACCATTCCAATTACACACTTATTTTCACATAGCTATGAGAAGCGTTAAACATGGACACGCGTGCAGTTGCCATACTGTATTAAAGCTTTAATCAGGATAAAACTGTATATTAAAAGCTAACAAGCTAACATAAGCAGTAGCATTTACAAATAACAGCATATCTAAAAGTATGAGACAACAACAAACAAAAAACATAGGCCTACCATTAAAAGCCGTGCTTGCACAGGTTCTGCGTGATACTCTTCAATAATATCCTCTGCTTCTCAAACGGGCTCAAACTGATAAGCGATATTAATGACGCCGCTGTTTACAATACAACCGGTGCACATGCCGTTGAGGTGAGGGGCGGGACGATTAGATGCGCACTAGAGGCGGTTTAGCCAATCACAACACACTGGGCTAGCTAAATAATCAGAGCCCATCTCCTATTTCCGAGGGAGGGGCTTCATAAAAGAAGGAAATGATCAGTCGCGTTTCTCAGAGAAGGGACAGTGTAGTGAACCACCCCTTTAAAAGACAGGAGTGCATTTAGGATAAAAATTCTGCATGTTATCCTATTGACACTTTACTAAATGCATTATTTAAAATAAATGCTGTTTTTGAACAGTAGTGTATACTGGATACAATAAGCAAAAACAAGATGCAAGATCACCGTTTTGCAATTATTTTGTGGCATGCCACTACTAAGAAGTGGTGCATGAAATACTGCTATATAGGTTAATGAATAATTAACATTCATATAAATGGTTTATTTGGTTCAAGGATTAATCCAAAACTTTCAAAAGGGTAAAGAGCTCTCATAAACACTTAAAGTCTACCCCACCTTTTTTGCTCCTCTGGAGGATTTCATTGGCCTCTTTCAGTGTCACTCCTGCTGGAGCTACAACCAGGTCCTCCCTTTTAGTCATTACCTGAGAGAGAGAAAGTTAAGGTGAGCGGAGTTCAGTAAAAACTGCTTAGCCCTCATCCTCTGTTAAGCCCCACCCACCTCACTGAGGGGCAGGTCATGCTCCGACTCTTTGAGGAAGTCAATATCTCGTGATGAAATGATGCCGACCAGACATCCGCCCATCTGTCCATTGTCAGTGATCGGAATCCCACAGAATCCATGCCGAGCTTTTGCCTGAAATACGTCTCTTACCCGCTCATTAGGACTCATCACCACCGGATCCGTAATGAAACCCTGTTCGTACCTCTAAACGGGGGTTGACCAAAAGCGGAGGGAAAGGGAGGGAGAAAAGTCGAGTGATGTTCTATTAGGCATTTCTACTTGGGAGTCACCTCAGTACATATCACAATACAAAATGAGGTGCGGATTTCTCATCCACAAGGATGCTGTTGCAACTACAGGGTAAGGGTCAGAAGAAAAACAGATATTACGAATGAGAGAAGAAAACTGGTACAAACATAAAGAGACAAGAGTCAAAAACAGCGACGTGAAGAGACTCGCCTTGACCTTGCGGACTTCATTAGCCTGGAACTCTGGTGTGCAGTTATGATGAATGAAGCCAATCCCACCAGTCAGCTGTGACAACACATTATCACATTAGACTTTAGAACAAAACACAACACGCATAGATGGTTGATCTTTGTACATTTAGGTTTAAAGACTAAATTTAGGTTTAAAGACTCTTGGGGAGTTTTGGGGAGACAGGACAGGAGATAGGCAGAAAAAAAGCTCCGCTTAGCTCCACTTTGCAAATTTTAGATGTGTATGTCTGCCAAGATTTTTATTTTGTCAACTTTTAGAAGTATACAAAAGAACAAAAGAGTACAAAAAGTATACAAAAGCTGACAAAAGAAGCAAAGATGGTCTAAAAGCTAATGGACATCTTCAAACTCTTATCTTGATTCATGGGGATTTTAATGACTTCATTGATATTAAAATATGAGGCAGCATATTTGCAAATAAACTTTTCTTTTGTAATATGCATACATACAGATAACTGTGCTTATTCAAATGCCTATAATAGTAAGAGCGCTTTCTGTGGTGGAATCTTGTGTCAGTCATTCTCTTACCGCCATAGCAATGGCCATGCCAGACTCTGTGACTGTATCCATGGGTGACGAGACCAGTGGAGTTTTCATTGTGATTTGTTTGGTCAGCGCTGATGTCAGGTCCTACAGAGAGAGCCAATCAAATTAAACCAGTGATGGTATACAAGAAACACCATCCATACAACAGTAGAGTATAAAATTGACTACTTTTGACTACTGTACAATAGTAGAGTGTTTCACTTACAACTTGGTCAGCTGTGAAGTCAATGTACCCAGGCAGAATCAGAAAATCACTGAAAGAGAATGGAGAAAAGTGGGCAAAAATGTGAGTGAGAGCAATTAATTTACAGCTGCTGCAAGTGATTTTTAAACACATATCACTATTAATTGACAGATGTAACTGGAAAAAGGTGTCCTGAGAAATAATACTTGTCTCTGTGACAGCGCCACATTGGACTAGCCAATCAGACATTTCTATAGGTGGCTTTCGCCAATAGCAAGAGTTTGGGGCGGGGCTAACTGTTTGACCAACCATTGAGTTGAGTGGAGTAGAGTGTTTGGGAAACATAATTGGAGACCATGTATGTATGTATTTAGAAACAGTATACATTTAATACAAGTTTATTTTTTGCAATTCTGCAGAAATCGAAATGATTCAGTGATGATTCAACTCTTTCAACTCTCTTATCTCGTACACACTGACACTAACATATACCACGTTGATTATGTTCCAAAGACAGTCATTTTATCTATTATATGTCACATATCATGTTGTTTACGAGTATCAAGCAACGCCCTGTTGCTGAGTACGTCAATGCTGCAGCCTCATCATGTCCAATGTAAACACTGAATTAGCGTACAACTCTAGTGTTAGATGGTAAACAGAAAGGCGTTTCTAGAAAATCGCACCTGCCACGGATAGGCTTTCACTCGGGGACATTACATGCTTTACATGGCACCAGATAATTTGTAAAGAAAAAAAACAACCACAACATACTTCACAAAGTTCACCCTATTTATAGCACATTTGGAGGAACTGGCTTGGAAGACCGCGATTAGTTTTGGTACAAGAAAAGCTGCTTGGGGTGTCAGTGGTTTAAGCATAGACTGTGGTAACTCTGCTACTCTGTACTTGGCAAAATGGAATGGCAGCAGATGATGAATCACCTATAGTTCATCAGTCAATCCAAGATGTCATTCCGACCTGACTTAACCTTCTGAACCGACATGCGCCCTCCATAGTGATCCGTCTGCAGTACTGACCCACGTGAAACAGAGTTACATAATAGATAAAAAATAAAAATAAAAACAGTGTGCTGTCAGTCACATATACCCATGCTGGATGTCAAACCAGACAAATGTGGACCAACAACGACACCTACACGCAGTTCAGCTCATGTTAGCTGTTTTAAATGAAGCTACATACTGTGTAAGCACATCTGCAGTGCTGACAGGCAAGAGTGTTTTTGATGTTTAACAAATAGCAAGCATATGGGGAATGCAATGAGACACAAGTTAAGGTATTTACTTATAGGTAAGGCCGTCTCCGCAGTTGAAGAGCTGCTGTCCGGTTAGACCGTCGTCAGGCACGTAGCCCGTCTGTCCACTGATTAAATAGTCCGCCATAGCGCATGAAAAGCGTAAAAGTCCAAATTTCTCACAGGATGAGTGTTTTTCAAGACGGTGAGCCGGTGCGCACACAGTCCGGTGAGTGATGTTCTCCTCGGAGCCTCAATCTGACACAGTCTTTGCGACACCTAATGACAATAAATGTAGAAAAAAGCTCAGGTTTCTGTGAAGAAACGGGTCTGAATCAAAGAAAACCCAACACGCTCTTGTTTTTGGGACTGAAGCTGACCCGTAGTACCCACAAGCATCACACGTGTCTATCTGTAGGACGACCTCGTCTTCCGCTGATATAAATAAGGTGTCTTCGTACGTCACTTCCGGGCTGTAGCAGGGTGGCGTTTATTCGCTAAAACTGTTTTATAAAATATTCCTGAATATAGGAGACTGAGGGTCATCTCTTCACCCTGGGGTACAGTGGAAGGGTGGGGTGTTTGTTTGTATCGTCGTTCTCTTATCTCGCGCGCACACGTGTTCAGCACGAGGGGAACTTCGATTTAAATTTATCTCGTGCGCTCTGCTGCTGACTTTATTTGGCTCGTATGAACTGACCTGAATATGCGAGATGGTCCTCACTGCAGAACACAAGATCCAGGATCCAACCTCACCCCCTGGATCTTATGTTCTGCAGTGAGGACCATCTCCTAGTGCGCGCAACTACCATTTGAAGACTGTTTTTACTGTGAAATAATTTTCTTAATATTTACTCTATTAGGGCCGCAATAAAAAATACAGTAATAAAATCAATGTTACACATTTAAGCCAAACAGTGAATCTTCACTGCCCCCTGATCCCTAAACCCACCCATCTCCACCCCCTAGATGTGGCTCCAACCACGCCCCCTGGATCTTGTGTTGTGCAGTGAGGGGTCCACATCTAGGGGGTGGAGATGGTAGGTTTAGGGGGTGGAGATGGGTGGGTCTAGGGATCAGGGGGTGGAGATGGGTAGGTTTAGGTATATGTAAGGTGGGAGGAGTTGGATCTGGATCCAACCTCACCCCCTGGATCTTATGTTCTGCAGTGAGGACCATCTCCTAGTGCGCGCAACTACCATTTGAAGACTGTTTTTACTGTGAAATAATTTTCTTAATATTTACTCTATTAGGGCCGCAATAAAAAATACAGTAATAAAATCAATGTTACACATTTAAGCCAAACAGTGAATCTTCACTGCTTGTCAGTAAAAGCAATTATTTCGTATAACGTTTTGACCTTTTTTTGTCCTTGTATTTTAATATTGTTTTTGTATTATAATAGATCAGAAATATTGACTTTGATATTGCATCTGATCTGTGTGTATGCGTTTGATTTTTCAAGAGAAAAAACTGAATCCTTAACGAGACATCAAAAGGAAAAGTGGTTCATACAAAATACTGCATATTGTGCTTATTTTTCTATAAAGATCAAATGTTTTCTTTCATGGCTGTGGGTTGCCTATTGTAACCATAATTATCCTGATGTAAGAAACAGTGTTACAGTAACAGAATTCTGTTTGTGATACCTCCAATTCTGTGTAGACATAAAATGCCAAATATGAACTGTACTAATATATGACACCTCTAACATTCTGGTGTAAGGGGTGACTTGTTAAAAAGTTGTGTGGTAGATAAATATATGCCACTTCAAATGCACATGTACACTACCATTCAAAGTTTTGGGATCACTGATTTTTTTTTTTCTTGAAAAAAAAAAACCTTTATTTAGCAGGGATGCATTCAACTGATCAAAAACAAAACATTTAATGTTATAAAATATTTCTATTTTTAAATAAATGTTTAAATGTTCTTTCTAACATTGATAAAAAACAACCACACTTATTTATATGAATCCACACTACATTTAGCAGCACAAACATTTTCATTTGTGATAAGATTTAATAATAAAATATGGATACTAATAAAATAATCCTTACCTTATTAACATTAATTTTTAAAGAAATCTTGAGCACCAAACCAGTATATTAGAATGATCTATGAAGGATCACGTGACACGGAAGACTGTAGTAATGGCTGCTGAAAATTCAGCTTTGCCATCACAGGAATAAATTACATTTAAGATATATTAAAACAGAAAATGGATATTTTAAACATTTCATAATATTACTGTTTTACTGTATTTTTAATCAAAAAATGCTGCCGTGGTGAGCATAAGAGACTTCTTTCAAAAACATACAAGTATTACTGACCGCAAAATTTTGATTGGTGTGGAAAGTGCAAATACATCTTTAACGTGTGTGCACAAGAAAACACAAGAGTCTCTGTCTGGTTTAAAAACTTTCTCTCAGTAACTCTATTTCTGTATTAATGTACAACCGTTGAAAATTACAGCATCATGTTTTTCATCTTTTTTTTTTTTTTTTTCAGTTTTTTTTAATGATCTAACTATCAACAGCCATTTCCAAGGAAGAAAAAAAACATGAGAAGAAAGCAAGAGTGAGAAGGAAAGAAGGCAGAAGTTCGGTGGAGTGTTTTGAGTGTGTGTGCGTCTGTGTGTGTGCATGTGTAATGTCAGCTGATGTGGGGATGTGAGAATGCAATGTTTGCGTATGTGAATCCTTGAACATAATCATGCTATTCTCAAACCCTGCCGCCGAGTAAAGATTAGAAAGCAAAAAAGGGGCACTGATGAAGGAAAGAATGAACAAAAGGGAAAAAATGCTTTGAAGATGCTATAAATGTGAAAAACAGAAAGGAGATGGACAAAACGTTACGAGATGCAGAGTAGAGTTTTGACAAAAAAAAGTGGAGGGGTATCTTTGGAGAGAAGGGACCAAGACAGTTGAGAGAAGAGTGAGCTCAATGTGGATTTGATGGACGGATGTTTAGGTGTCGTGGAAATCCTTCAGCAGCGTCCGTCTCTTCTGCTCAGCAATGTGCATCTGATTCTCCAGATCCTACAGAGAGAGAGCGAGAGCATTTATTTTTTTATTCCAGTGTTCATGTTCACAACTTCTTCTGGTTTTTGTTCCATCTCTCACCCCTCTATCGTTAGCACTCGGCTCTCCTCTCTCATAACTGTCTGCTCTCTCCACTTTCCATGACAAGTTCTCGATCTCCGCCTCCAGCTGCGCTTGCTGATACTCAAACTACAGGGAATAAAAATGAGATTTCCCATTACCAAAGACTGATCTCAAAGAAATATTTGACCTTCGATGAAAGATTCGCATATTTAATGCAATAGCTTACCAATTTTTTGCGGGGTCCAGACTCCATGTAGTAGGCATAAGGATAAGTGTACTGCAGTGTGTAACGACACTATGGCGAGAGCAAACAGACAGCATAAGCGTGTGGAAACACAGACCCTTATGCATTAGCATTTGTGCCTGCAGAATAGAGCTGCAAGATATATCAAAATAACCAGAATTGCATTATGTTTTATGTCAATTATCAAATCGCAAAGGCTAAGATTTAATTAAACAAATATATACTCTGATTGTTTCAGAGTGAAGCGTGGCACGGTCATTTGACTTGTGAGTAGTGTTTTCGGTTTGTTTCACAGTAAATGCAGCTCTGAATCACACAAACTCCATCTCTGAATCTGCTAAGTTTGGGTCGATTAACTTACATTTGGGAACGCAACATGCGCCAAACATCTTCCAAACGTGCTTATAAGAAGTGAGAAGTGCTTATAAACTGGCAGCCATGAAAAAAAAGAGAAGCTTTAAGATTACCCTCTATTTTTCCACCAAAATAAAAGCTTGAGGGTTTAATATTTGAAAATTAAAAAAATAATAAATATTAGTACTGCAAGTTTATATAGTTTTACTTTAAAATAAAAGTAGTATTATTTTTTATTATTATTAAAGTATTACTTTTTTATTTTAAAGCCATATTGATATATAAATTACAAATTTGGGGGCTGAATTGTGTAGCCTTACAAACTAACAACCAACCCTCAGCAAACCTTAAAAAAAAAATAAAATTAAACCACAATTTTTATCAGAAAAAAATCCCAATTTTCCACAAATCGTGCAAGCCCTACTGTGGAGTACAGCTGGATTCAGCCTGTACCTTGGCCAGTAGCTTGGCAGCATTCTGCAGGTACTGCCAGTCAATCCAGGTGCCCAGGTTATTCATGACTCGCTCCTGAATCTTCTCCTGGATCCGCTGGTATGTCTGTGCCTCCAGCTGCAAGCTCTTATTGTGGTTCTCCCACTGGACACACGCATAATGTACAGATTACGTATCAAAGCAATTAAGTGTCAATGCTGTTATTACCATGAAAACTGCAACTGCAAATTGGTATGTTTCGTCAGGCCGTGAAGAAATATAGAAATGAGTATCATCAGCATAACAATGAAAGCCAACACCATGTTTCATGATGATATCTCTCAAGGGTAACATGTAAAGCGTGAAAAGCAACGCGGCCTTAGTACTGAGCCTTGTGGTACTCCATACTGCACTTGTGATCGATATAACTCTTCACTCACTGCTACAAAGTGATGAATGTCAGATAAGTATGATTTGAACCATGGCAATGCAATTCCACTAATGCCAACTCAGAAACACAATGAGATAATAGCTCAGTTTCAAATCTAGTGAGTTGTATTGTCGCCATATAGGCAGCATCATAACTGAAAAAGAACACCATATAGGCAGCGACTAGACAGCCACCATACAAATGGAATTAGACATTTTTATTGATACTTTGTGAAATAAGTTAACTATAAATGTTATTGCCTACTTTTTGGAACAACCTACTTGTCAGGATCACTACTAAGCTAACTTTTTATCGCTTTTTCTAAAAGAGATTTATTTATTATCGATTAATAATTTTTGTCTCACCCTCTCAAAGTAGAACAGGTATTTTTTGAGGGCCTCTCTGGCCTGGGCCTGCTGGCTCTGATTCACGATGTCAGGGTTCTCTTTGTAACGACTGCACTCGTAGTACTCACTGCCGTGAGTCTTCCAATCTCCCAGACACATCCAGCAGAAATCTACACACAGCCATAACAATGTCATTCATTACAATTAAGACCACTTCACCACTCAAAGGAGATTTTATGTAATTTTTAGAAACTAAAAATCACCGGGAAAAAACATACCATGTTTACACTTTGAGCATTGCTGCAAAGAGAGAGAGAAAAAATATGTTCAGTTAAAACATTAATCTTTTTTTTTTTTTACACTATCATCTTTTTTAACACTATTGTTCAACATTTTTTTTTCTAGAAGAAATTAATACAGCAATTAATTCAGCCAGGATGCATTACATTTACATTTACATTTACTCATTTAGCAGACACTTTTATCCAAAGCAACTTACGAATGAGGACAATGGAAGCAATTGTAAAGTAAAATTGAAATTGTTGTAAAGCATTAAATTGATCAAAAGTGACAGTAAAGACATTTGTAATAGTACAAAATATTTATATTTAAAACCTTCCATTCAAAGAACACTGAAAAAATTTATTGCAGTTTTCAGAAAAATATTAAGCAGCTTAACTGTTTTAAACATTAATAATAAGAAGAAATGTTTCATAAGCACAAATCAGCATATCAGAATGATT